TATTTACTATCACTAAACCCCATTTTTCACGGGCTTTCATTTGGTATAAAATTCATGATATCTCCGATTCGAGATCATACTGTTACCCCCCTGGAATAATATTATTTACCACCCTGTATTACGATCTGAATTTATCTTAATATCTTGAAATTATGTAACATTAGAATTAAACAATGCTAAAGTGTTACCATTAAATTAGAATTATTTTTAGTGCTAATAGGTTTGTTAGTTGTAACTATATGTCTGAGACTTTCCTTTCAAATGTTTCCAATAAAAAAAGACTTTCACTATTATTGCAAATCCTTTTACCATAATAGATCAATGTTGTTCCTTTTTAATGTTGAAAGTATCGTTTCTATAAAAGAAAAAGAATATTATGTTAATAGAAACTTTTGAGTTAAAACTCTCTGAGATCTACTCGTACGTAAGGCATGTATTAAAATAAAAACCAATGTTAGTTTAATGGTAACGCCTTAGTATTAATTAATGCTATTTCTAACATGGCACTTCTATTTAACGATTTGCTGCATAAATGTATGTCACTGATTATAATTTAAAAAAATGAAATGTTGTGGGTGGATGCAGGTGTGAGTGTTTAAAAGAAATCTTACATCCACACCCCTTTGAAATTGATCGAAAGATATAAGCATGATAGTATATTGATTCCACAAGGACTTCTATCCTGCTCTGCTCCACAGGACAGGGCAAGACAGCGTGTTTTTTTTCTTATGCTTTTTCTCAACAGGGCAGAATACAGAACAAGATAGAATTCGAAAATAATGCTCTGTGCCCACCTCTGGATAGCTACCTGGTAGGTAGAAGATGTAAGGTTCGATTTCTTGCAAAAAAGATATTTCGTTTGTTTCATTTCATAGTCATTTGATCATGCTATTGCTCAAGTTATAAAATATCCAGTTACAAAATTGATCGTTTACACTATATGTAGATGTAAAATGAGGTTCGAGATTGTTAAGTAAAAGTGTCCAAATAATTTTATGAATGTTTTACACACGTACTGACTTGTTTTTTTTTCTTTTTTGGAAATATGTTCGAGTAGCTATAGTATAAGCAATACCCATTAAAGAATATTTCGATTATAATCGAAACACTTTTTATTGGGTAGGGCGTAACATTCACTTGTTTTAGAAACATTATATCTGCGTCATATAGACATTCTATTGTTAAAAATATGAATTAAAAAGTGCTAAAGGAAATTAAAAAAAAAAAGAAACTTATATCGATTATGTCTTCTATATATTCTCTAACACATGTCCATCATGATCAGTTTGTTCGATAAATAAATTAGTCAAAATATTGAACGGTATTTAGATTGAAGAATATTCATATTTATTGTAATTATAATTTAAAATTTTTTTGAAGAGAAATAATAATAATGATATGGATTTTTCTATTGATTGAAACAGAAAATCTAAGAATCTATTATTAAATAATTATTTGTTTGGTACATTTTTACTGTAGTCACACTATTGCACAGAAAAGAAAAATTATTCTTTGAAAAAGAACCATAATTTTTATTGTAAATTATACAACAGAAAAAAAACAAATATATGGCAGCTACAGATGAACGTTGGCTAGGCTACGATCATCTGTAGTTGCCATTTATTTGCCATTTTCCTTTTGTTCTGTTCTATAATTTAAATACAAATTATTGATTCTTCAACGACTAATTCTTCTTCTATACTGTAAAAATGTAGCGAAAATAATTGAAAAATAAATAAGTTTAGTGAACAAAAATGAGTTTCTTCATTAGACAAATAAAAAGATATTTATAGAAGAGAGAGAGAAAAAAAGAGAAGAAGTTAAAAATCTTCTTTTATTAATTACAAAAAACAAGAAAGAAATCAATACATAGAGGATAATAGAAAATTAAAAATGTAAAAAAAAAGTTGAACAATCAGATTAATTTAGAGAATTATTATATAATAAAATTAAACATCTTGAATGATAAAAGTATTCTCAAAGAAGAAAATAAAATAAAAAAAGTTTATCTTTTAATATGTAATGTTAGTTATGTTCTTTAATTAAAATATAAGAAAAATCTATAATTAAATATAATAATTTTTTTATTTTCATGATTTTTTCATTCGTTTTAATAAAGTTTCAAATAAATCTTTATTTTTATCATAATCACTAAATTTATTATCATACTCTTTATCATAATCAATATCCATCCTTGATTTTTTTAAAAATCTTAATAAGTATGACAACCTTTCAATTAAAAAACAAAAAATGATTCAATATATTTTATATTATTATTGATTTTCTTACTATAAGATGTTGATGAAGTTAAACTTTTGTTTGTTAATTCTTGAATATGAAATTGATATTGATCATTAATATCAATAGCAATAGTATCATGATTATATGGTATAAGTTTCATTTCAATTAATAATTTTGATAATTCAGTTGTTACATTTTTTTAAAATGTTGTTTTAATGAATAAATATCGTGAACTATTTTTTTAACAAAAAATAAATCAAATCAAATTTATTAATAATTAAAGAAGTTTTCTTAGATAAATAAAATTAAAATTTATGTTTAAATAAAATACTTGAATTAGAAGATTTTTTGAGAATTGATTGAATAACTTTGTTTGTTAAATTAATTTTAATATTTTGTTCTTTTAAACGTTCTTGAAGTGATTCTATTTGAAGATGAATAGTAGAATAATGTTGATTTATATTAAGAGATTGAAAGAATACAATATCATTCAAACAATTTAATTATTCTAGTCGAAAATGTAAACGAACCTTCGCAAATAAAAAATCACATTTCATTATTTTATTTAAAAAAATAACAAACTTCTTTCATAATATGATCTTTTATTGTTTGAGACAGTTTTCCATTTAAATTTTCTGTGGTCGATAATAAACTTTGATTTTCTTCTAAAATAAATTGTTCGCCAATATTTGATGTAAATATAATAATTGTATTTTGAAAACTAATTATTTGATCTTTTATATCATAAAAATTTTATTTAATAAATTATTTTTTGTTTATAAAAATAAATAAAAAAACTTACAATAAAATAACTGTTATTTAAAATTTTTAATAAAATATTCCAAATTTGTAAATGTTCTTTTTCAATTTCATCAAATAAAATAATATCATTAAATTGCTCTTGAACAGTTTCTATTAGCTGACTATCTTGTTCAAAACTAACATAATCTATAAAATAAATTATCAATATAAATTTAAAACAGATAATTTTTACTTGATAATTTATCTATGAATCGAATATTTGAATTAGATTCTGTATATTCATTCATATCAATAGAAATTATTGATTTTATTGAATTAAATAATTCTAATCTTAATGTATTACCTAATTCTCTTTTACTAACATGATTTGGATCTATACAAATAAATAATTATTTTATTTTTATTAAAATTTAATATACCTAAAAATAAAAATGTGCCAATTAGTTCATTTTCTCTAGAAATTTCAATTCGATTTATTAAAAAAAGTAATAACACAATCAATAGCATCATCTTGTCCAATGATTTTTTAATGTAAATTTTCATTTAATTTTGATAAACGATCATATTCTGTTTCAAATAATTTTGTTATGAAAATTCTAGTTCATTGACTAACTGAACAATAAAAGTTTTATTTTTACATTAAAAATTGAACTAGAAGACACGTAGAATATAGTCTCAATAAATTAGATATCAAATATTGACTCTCAGTGAATCTATAGAAGAATCAAAACAGTTAAGAAGATGAAATTATCTTCTGTACCCTCTGATTATATAAGTATGTAAATACAAACCTATTTCAATAATAACATTTGGCTCAACAGCTCCAATTAATAATCTATCTTGTTGTTGTTTATTTTCTTTAGTAATTCGCTGTTTTATTTCAACTACCATCTTTTATATTAGTTACTAAAATTAAATTATTTTCATCATCAGCTTGTCACATTTTAACTTGAAGATTTTCTAATTCTTTTTTTAATTTTCTTAATTCATCAAGACGTTCATTTTCATGTATATTTTTTAATTTTAATGATTTTAATTCTTTTTTTGTGTACTCAAAAAGTGAGTACACTATAGAATCGATCAATGCGTTCGTCCATCTGGCCGGCCGGTCGTTTACACCATAACTTTCGAAAGGAGAGTCCGATCGCGGTGAAATTTTCTACAAAGTTGCGTTTCATCAATATCTCGGTCGAGTTCGAAGATGAGAGTGATTCATCGAGCCATTGCCGAGTTATCGGGAACAGAGTCATTATTTCCTATGCTTTTCTATGCGAACATTGACCTATCCCGCTTTTCGTATAAAATCTTTCCTCTCATAATCAAACAAAACTCCAACTATTATAAAACAATCGATAGAGAATTTCACGAGCTACAAAATGGTATATAAAACATTAAGAAACAAGAAGGCTAAGTCACCTATTACAAAGATACTTAAATGGAAATTGGTTCTGTTTTTTGTCCACGCTCCGATTCATTGAAACGTAAAGCTCCATCTTCCGATCACAGAGATGATATTTCGAGGTTTTCTAGGGCGGCGAACTCGAATCTGAGCTCGACTTGCCTCGAAATCCTATTGGTTGAGTAGTAACCAATAGAAATCAAGTTTTTAGGAAAAACGACTTTCTGAGGGTAATTCAGGACG